GGGGGGGGGGGGGGTTGAGGGTTTTGGTGTGTTGAGGGTTAGGGCAGGGCAGGATTCAGGCTTCAGAGTTATTTTAAGATTTGAGGGTTCGGGTCGATGGACGTCTGCGTAGTTGAGCCTATGATAGACTGTATAATTCATGACAACAAACTTAAAAGCTCTAGGCACCCTTGGCTAAAATCTGAAGTTCAGGGCACAAGCCTTCAGAACCCAGAACTACGGCCACTCTGCTTGCAGAAGGGTTACTCCGTGAAGATCGAACAGATTGAGGCGCGTCCAAAAAAGCAGACTCATTCGTGTCGTTCATGGTACCCACACGTTTTAGGGCTTCAAGGGCCCAGTTCTCAGCAACGGTGAGATTGAGGGGTAGGGCTGGTTGCTAGGCTGGCCATGGCTGGCCTAGCTACATGGCTGCGAAGAGATTGGAACGAAAAGGCCGCGGCTTAAAAGGTTGGGAAAGCGCGTGGGGTTTAGGGATCAGGGTTGCAGTGTATGTCAGCTTTAGGTTTCAGAGTTAGCTTCAGGTGCACGGTCAAGAGTGAAGCCAGGAGTTGCCAATGACGCAGCTCATCTCACCCCTTATTCGCACGCTTAGCTGCGGCAGTCGGTTGATTTATGCTCGTTCAAGGATCCCATAAGTTCCTAACCCAAGCCACAAGCCCCAGCTTCAAAACGCAATCGCCAAGCCAAAACCGAAAGACCGCTGATGACAAAATCGTTGACAATCATCAGCAGTTTTCGACTACCACTTCAACTACAAGTTTGGGTCGAAGTTCGACTTTACTGCTGTCGTGTTCACCAAAACTCGCACTGTTTCCAGCATCTCTTGTTGTCAGTTCAAGGCGGTTCCTCGAAATTCAACCTGTCGATCCTCAATGGGCATCCCCACCCCCTTGGCCCTTGTATGTCCCTGGGGTCCCTCGGGAAAGAGACACCCCACAACCCCAGGCCTGGTGCTACTGTCAGGAGCGTCGGGGCGTTGGGCAGCACATCCCGGATCAGCTCACCTCTCTTCATGCACAAGGCGCGTAATGCACCCAAGTGTAACAGACTGGCTCCACAGAAACACTGTCTGCACGCTCTCTGTGGCCAAAGAACATAATATCCAGATGAGGGCTACCGGAAACCGACTTCTACCTCCTCTGCTCAAACCGCGACCCGTGGTAGCCGTTTTGCGAAAAGCCACACTGGTCAAAAGCCTGGCGCCGTCCACGCCGTCAGGAGCATGTGATAACGATTGATCCTAAAAAAGACCGGGAAGCATACCAACATCTCTTCCCTAGACCCCAAACAGTGGATATCCCTCACCACGCAGCTATTGCAATGCCCGAAACTGCAGCTATTGTCATAGCAGAAACTGCAGTGTGGACGCAAGGCCTCAAATTTAATCCCTTCAACAAACCGTCGCAAAAGGGGCACTGAAAATGTGGGGTACAAACCTCGTGGCGCATAGGACCTGGATGAAGACCGGCTTTCTCAAAAGAAGGTTTCGATAGTCAGAAGCCTGTGGCCTGATATCCAAACCCACCTGCAAGTCAGCATCGCGCCTGATGCGGCCGTTTGTCCAGCTACCTGATGGAAATCACTTGGGAGTGTGGAGTGGCCAGCACAATTTAGCGGATGAGAGGTGAGGGATGCACTTGGAATCTAGGCCGGCTTAGCTCTTGTCTTCTCAACATAAGGCGCGTCCTCTCCTCGCAAGGGTTGGGCATGCAGGCAAATGGTATTCGATGGGAGTAAATAAGTTCCATGAACCACTTCATTCAGGATTCACTTCCAACGATGTGTGTCTGATGCGCACGCCTATGGTTTCATATCGAGATCTCGTTCTGACAACTCCATATAGAGGGGATGCAATTCGGGTTTCGACAGAAACCAAACCTAAACTACCCGTCTCGATGATGGCGATGTAATGATGATCAGGATGATGATGCTGGCGATGCCGGAGCCTCAATGCTGTTTAAAGTCCTCTAAAAAAATGAGCGCGACCATCCAAACGTTTTGCCAATGCTTGTCCGCGTCAAAACGCCTCTGGGCTAATAAAGAAATTCTTTCTGGATGCCCCAGCCACCACGGCCAAATGTACTTATCTAGCTCTTTTTCTACACCTGACTCAGCTTCATGTCAAAAAGCACTGAAGAGTGTGGTCCAATGTTAAAAGAGTTACTTGACGCCTGATTCAGTCAGTCTTTATCGTCTAGACGAAACACTAGCGTGACTGTGGGAACTGGTTTTTTCAGAAAGGGGATATCCCGCGGAACAGCCAAAATAGGCCGTCCAAATCAGTTTAGGGCTTAGGGCCCGAATTTCAGAAAGCTGAGGCAACAGCGCGGATGGCTGTGCCGGTCTGGTTGTACACAAAGGAGAGAGGGTCCCCATTCCTAAGTTCAAACCCCATCTCTCCCCGGCCTCCTAGGGCTTAGTAGGATTTGGGGATTGGTGTGTAAGTTTAGGGTTTAGGGTTCTTTAGGGTTTAGGGTCTAGGGTTTAGGGCTTGGGCTACTCTGAAACAAAATGCCAGTGGTCAGCAAATTTGGCCATACGTCAGAAGCCTGAGGCCTTGGACCAGGATCGCAGATAATTCAGTATCACCTACATAAGGACTTAAGTAGATAGAATATGGGGTATATGGGGATCCTATTATGATATACCCAAGCCATTAGTATTCTATCTACTCAAGGGGGGCTATAGCCTTTTCTAACTCCTGCGGCGCTAGAACTCAGTGGCAATGGCAACTGCGGACCCTCGGTCCGTCTTCGCGGAGGTGGTGAGAAAGCTAAGCATGTACTGGATAATAGAAACTTAAATGGGAACTACTATTATATTGTTGGGGTTATGGAGGGATTCAGAGCTTGTTCCCCATGTGGGCTCTGCCCTTCTATGGAACACCAACCCCCGGCTGCCTGCTTCTCAAACACCCACGCATCTGGCATCTGTAACACTGTAACTGTAACAGGGCTGAAACCCTTGCCCACAGGCAGGAAAGACAAGCAGCCCGGAACAGCAGAGCAGGTCTCTAATCTAACAATCCTCCGAAGCCAGGATGTTCCATGGCTACTTGTTTTGGACGCCAGCAGCCAGAAACTGAAGGTACTTGCTGCTTGTATAGCTACTCCTCTGGACTGGTGAGGTCTGAGGTCTGGGAGCTCCTGCGTCTTCAGCATTAAATCCAAACATGTTGTAAACCAGGGCACCTGCAAACATCATGTACCTCTGGAACCCTGTCACCTGGACCAAGGCCCGCACTTCCAAGCAGTGTGAATCAGCATTCCCACTGACCTCAGCTGTAGACTCTATGCTAGATAGCCGAAGGCTGTGTTCACTCTCAAGTGGCAAGTACCTACATCAAGATACTCTAGCTGACTCTGGCTGTGCAAGGCAAAGCGCACGTCAACAAAGATGCTCTTCCCTGGCGCGATGATTGATGCCCAGCCAAAACGGCCCCCTGATCAGGTCTTCTGTTCCCACAACGCCAGCACCACTTTTGGGTCAAAAAGGCTTCTTGCGCAACGCTCAACACAGACTTTATGACGGAAAAGCAGTCCCTGTGCAGCCGCAGCTGTATCGCTGGAGAAACGCTGGGTTTCTGAACCGCCGCTGGCAATAACATGATCATCTTCCTGTAGACGCCACGCCACCGTAAACAGAGCCCCACTGTAATCCCCTATCTGGGGCTGTTGTAACTTCTACTGAGGCTTTTGCCGGAAGAGCCGGTCCAAACCGTTCCTGAGATGTCACGGAGTAGAGCTAGTTGTAGGCTCATGGGTAGTTATCAGCTGGGCAACAAGTAGGAATTGCTGTGACATAACCCAGCTTGGGAACTGATAAGTTGATTGCAAGACGCTACAACCTGTGTAAAATTTGGTGGCCTGACTCAAGGGGGTCATCATCAAACAGGCAAAATTACGCAGCAAGAGCCTGACCACGGAAAGAAGACCTATCCATCCTCTTTATTCTGCACTGGCAGAACTCCACTGTCAAAATTTCTTACTTACCAGAGACTACACTGTGAACCCCTTTATGCATCTGGGATCCTGGAGGGCTACGCTAGATGTCAGCGCCCAAAGAGCCCAAGCCCATGTTTGACAACTTCACGCTGCTATGCCTCTATGCCCATAGCTGATGCAGCCCCAGGTACTGCTCTGGGCCCTGCTCCTCTTTGAAGAGCTCGCTTTCGGCTGTGAGGAGCTCCTGCAGCAGGTGGGGTTCCGACATCCAAGCCCAGCACTTCTCTAAAAGGTTCGGTTTTGCTTCGTTGCTTTTGGGGGGCCAAGGTCTCCAACAGCTAGCATCAGGGCGCAGGGGCATAGGCATAGGTTTCCTTTCATTCAGGTTTGACATCCGAGGCAGGATGCCAGCAATGGTACTGCTCGAACAGCCGTGGCTCCTGAACAAAACGGCACCTTCAGTGTAACTGCTATCCCGTCCTCCTAAGGCTGGTCCTCCTACTCCTCCTCCACCTTTTAGTGGTCATATGATTCTACCCTTTTGAAGCAGGACTGATTGGGCAAAATGTGGGAGGACCCGGTCACAGCTGCAGCTAATGCTGCACGCGGACCAAAACTCCAAGGAGCGCAGAGCCTGAAACCTACGCATGCTTCAGAAGCTTAGAACATAGTCCTACATATATTCCGAACCAATGAGCTCCGGCTCGTGACGCTTTTGCACGTTGATGCAAAAGGCTGAAGCTTGCAAAAGCTTGATTATCCCCTCGAGATCCCTCGAGTATAGCCCCAAGCCCTGTCGTAATTATTTAGGTCGCTACATGAGCTATAATCTAAACTCCTAGTATCCCCCTGAATAACCCCTATAATACTCCCCTATATTCTCCCCTATATATATATATATATCTGCGCATATAACCCCTTTAAGGAGCTTAGACTATGGCTTACATGAGGATCCCCCACCTTCGTGAGCTCGTGAATCTCTCGCCTCTGCTTGACCTTTGCAGCTTCGAGCCAACCCATTTTAGGGAACCCGAGAGTTTTTGTTTTTTTTGTTCACTCCTTTTTCCGTCTGCGGGTTGGAAAGCACATATCGTGCAGGAGACCGTCCAAACATCCTAAAAGCTTTGGCCAAAGACCCACGATCGGAACCCAAGCGCCGATGCCCTTACCAGCATCTAGCGTAGCAGGGAAGGCTTCCACAGGCTAACTAGGAACCCAGCTCAGGAGATGATGCCACACAGGCCAAACAGGACGGGGCAAAACACCGCAGCTAGCAGCCAGCAGCGACACAGTGCACAGCCAGGAGAAGCGGTTCCACAGTCCCTCGTCTCGTCCTTGTGGTCATTGCCCTCACTCTCGTCGCTTTCCTCCAAACCGCGAGCAACGTGCTCCATGATGGGACGCTCCGTCCGGATCGGACGAATAGGCCGAGAGCACCTGTGTCCATCCACCAAGTCTCCAGGATTCATCATCACGAGGTGGTCGTCCATGAAGAAGCAGTTCTTCTCCAGGTGGAAGCGGATGAGGAACAGGTTCTGGAAGATGTCCACCGCCAGCTTGTACAGGTAGAACAGCATCTTGATCAGCAGGAGGTGGAGGAAGCGCTCCAGCAGCCACAGGCACACCGACCGAGGATGCCACATTCACGGCTTCTTGCCCGGAACCTTGGGGACCCAACAAAGGACCAGCAGGAAGGAGATCCGCGGAGACGGCTCCTACAGCAACTCCCTCTCCCAGGTCGCCTCCAGGAAGTATTGACGAAGGACGGGCAGGTGAAGGCAGGCATTCTTCTTCTTCAGCAGCAGGAGCAGGTGGTGTGTGTCCTCCTTGCAGACGCTGCTCCATTTGGAATTGGTGCAACACATCGTTCCCATAAAGCTCAACAATGCGCGCATCTGCAAGGGCTCCTCGATGCCATTGGGCAAAGTCCTGCCATAGTTGAGGCCGCGCAAAGAGGTCGTGAAGCATTGGCTGACCTCCCTCCCGTTCAAACCTGTGTTGACGAAACAACGCCAGAATGGATGCTCCCAGTCTCTCCTCGACCAGTTCGTCGGCCAAGGCGCGGTCAACAAAGAGCCTGTAGTAGGCGTCAACAACCTCCTGCGGCAAGCCCTCTATGCTGGGAGCCGCGATGTGCTCCGGCTGCTGCAACTGCAGATCTTGGCAAGCCAAAAGAACAGCCGCATCGTGAGGCTGGCTACCAACCTCTGCATCTACATCAGGCTCCACTTGGTTCTGCAGGCGCGCGGCTGTGGTAGGAACGGGCCCGCCAGGCAAGTCCGCAAAGTGGTTGGTGATAGAAACGCCCCTAGAAGCAGCAGCCACAGTAATGTTGCGGCTTCCTTGCCCAACCACAGTCCCATCGTCCTGCCGGACTGTGTAAGACATGCGCATCCTTTTGGTAGCCCTCACAGGCCAGGTACCCAACTCCTGAAGAATCGTCCTTCTATCCCAGGACTGTGCTTCTGCAGCCTCCATTTGGCGGCGCCTTTCTTCTTGCTCTTGTTGACATTCAAGGCAGCGCCGTCTCTCCAAGTCCTTCCTTTCCTCCTCCAGCTGGACCCGGGACTCGAGGTCGTCGTGGTGCGAGATCTCGTTCAGCTCCGCATCCGTGGCTTGCCTCCATACACCCTGTTCCAACACCTTACAGGCAGCCATCATTTCCACACTGGATTGCGATTCCGGTTCCTGGCCATCGTCAACCCCGAAGGATCTCTGCAAGAGAAACATTGTCAGCGTAGGTAGTTGATCATCCACCCAGGTGATCACGGCCGGCTCTGGTACTGCTGGGCACAGGGCCGAGGAGGAGGAGCTGGCGCCAAAAGATTGGGCAACGCTGTCCGCGACCGCCCCATAGGAAGCAAGCAAAGCCTCAAGTGAACGAAAGTGTCACTATACGACGCAGCAGCTCTTGAGCGCATCGAGGAGCATCCCAGGCCTGAGCGCTAACACCCTGCCAAAGCACTCCGCAGCTTGTCTCGGCACCATAGCAGACTGGACCAAGGAGAGCTGGTCATTGTCATTGCGGTCCGCTGCATCACCACATTACGTCGGGGAGCCCGGAGGGGTCGATGGCGGTGTAGGAGGTCCCCAAACTCGCCTTATCCATTCTCCAGGTGTGAGGCTTCCTTCTGGAGGACATTCGAAAGCCGCGTCGTCATCGCCGGCAGGCTCGCCAGTCTGCTCATCCACAGTTTCGTCAACAGTCTCAACCCTTCCGGAAGGCAAGGTAGCATTGGTTGATGAACCTGGGCGGCTTGGGCATATTTCCTCGTTAGCAAGGGGGACCGCACCGGGCTCATCCTCAATCTCAACCTCCACATAGTCGGAGAGCTCGCCGTCTTGCATCTCGGCAGGGCATGGTGGGAGCTCATCCACCTCATCCGCAGCAGCTACCAGGGGAGGTTGTTCCGAAGACTCGCCTGTGTCGCCAGCGCCACCGGCAGCAGCAGTCGCGGTCGCCGGCCTTGAGGAGCGGCAGTTTGCAGGAGCGCCACCGAGTCTGTTCTGCCCAGGTCAATAGCCCTTCCCACCTCCGCAATCATAAGGCTGACAAAGCGGACAAAGGCGAGGGCCATCCGTGATCTGTCTTCCATAGACATGTCTCTAAAATTGTCGGTAACCGTCTCCGCAACATGGGCGTTGATCGCCAAGTAGCGGTGATCGCCAGGTTAGGTTGTGGCCCTTCCAACATGCTGATGTACCCAAGGAGGTGTCTCCAGTATTCCATGTCTCCATCATGGTCCGATACTTGCGGTCCACGTCGATCTCCAGAAGAGCCAGCAGCGCGACCATCCCCCACAGCGCGGCCAGCAGACCGAGGTGGTTCAGCACTTGCGCGCCTAGGGAAGGAAACCGTTCTGCACGTACTTGTAGGTACCGGTGGGAGCCTTGCTCGTTCACCAGAACGCGAGCGCTGACGGTGCCCATGCTGAACCCAGGAGACGACATCCTCGAGCTCATATTTGTTCCGCTTCACGGCAGGGAACGGCTGCATGAACTGCTTGGCCAAGACGAAGCAGTGCGGAGCGAGCAGCCTCACCCAGCCGGTAGTCGCTCTTCCCAAGGCATCTCACCAGTTCGGCCAGGCACCAGCACAGGCAGGGGGCTTGTACACGTGGAAAGGGGCCCGGCCCAAAATAGTTCCGAAACTCGGGGGTCTGGTAGAAGTCACAGAAGTCCATCGTCTGCGCCAGGGCGGTGTCGTTAACGAGGTCGCCGCCAGCGCCAACCAACGAAGTCAAAGGCCAGGAGGACGTAAGACATCCATCACGGAAAGTTACGTTCTCGGTTACATGGGTGTAGTGCGAAGGCTCCGCCGCCCAGCCGCAGCAGGCCAGGGGGAGCAGCAAGGACCACCAGGCAGCCACTGTCACAAAGGCAAAGTCAAGGGGGCAAGGTCAGGACACTCAGGTTGAGCCCTTCATTCGTCGCAACCAAGCTTGCAAACCCTCACATGCCAAGCGCCAACTGCCGCGTGCTAGTCCAGGAACTTGCATTTGCTGTATCCAGTCAGTCTGTTTCGCTCTCCACCTCTGTCTGTCCCTCGCAAGCTCTCTCCAGTCGTTCTGTCCCGCAGCCCTTGCCAGGGATCTTTCTGCGTTCATGAGAGCAGGAAAGTGCCTGCGGTGCCGCGCCCCCGACAGCAACGATTGTTGGTGCAGCCACCAGTCCAACCCTCGAAAGTTAGAAAGTCGAGAGGCAACCGAGACCACCCCACACTGTCGAACGCGGTGGCCAGTGTACGTCCAATAAAGTTGGAGCGCAAAGTCCCCCCAGCGGCGGCCCAGGTGCCGCCACACCATCAACCTGGACAACCTGATCGTTCTCAGCTCGTAATCGAGCCAGAGCTCATTGGCCCGTCTCTTGCACCCAAGAAGTGCGCGAACACCTCGATATTGAAAATGATTCAACGAGGTCTGGACCTTCGGGCCGGGGTATACAACACCAAGGACCCACTGCATGCACAGTCTTGTCTAGAAGACGCAACCTCCAATGGAACTTGCCTTGGAGGTGAGGACAGGAAGCAGCGAGTAGAACTTACCCCTTACTTTGTCAATCATGTAGATGATAAGGTCAACGTCGTTGAGCTGCGTGTGAACGGGCACGTGCATGACATAAAGGGGCTCATCCGGCGCCAACGGTGTGAGCGGAACACCGTCAACCAAGATCCCCGGGTCCGCAGCCCCACCCAACAAAGCAAGCTGACACTTCAGGGGTTGCAGCGAAAGTCCAAAGGATCGCAGAATCGGAACAAGGTCTTCAAAGAAGGCCCGTACGGACGGAGCATTGGGGAACCATCCGAGGACGTCGTCCATAAAGGCGACCGCACAGTCAGACATGCCTACGAGCAGGAACGTGTTTTGCCGGCCACAAACCTCAATCAAGATATCATCCATCAGCTTACTAAAGAAGCATGGCGATTCTGCGCTCCCTTGTCGAACACCAACACCAGAGCGGATGACGACCTCGTCATCCCAGGGCAACACAAGGTGCAGCTGGTTCAATTCCAACATAGCAACGAAGCAAGCAGCTTCCCGAGGAAAGTCAGTAGCGACCCACGACAGGATTTTATGAGCCAGCTTGCGACGGTCAACGGAGTCAAACGCACGACGGATATCCAGTTTCACCGCAATGGCGGGGGTGCTCCACTCTCTACTTAAAGAGAATACTTGTTTGGCTACCCAGACCATGTCAGCACTTTGTCTACCTCTCGTCGCCATCTGCTGTGGACCAGTCGCTTCCAAACAGCCCCCCGCTCTGGCCAACATGATGCGCGAGAAAACCTTGCCTGTATGAGAGGACAAGGCTATGGGCCGCAACTGTGAGGGTGTCGTTGGCTGCGCTTGCTTCGGGAGAAGCGCCAGGACACTGATGCTCCAGTCGGAGGGCAGGCAGGCCGAGTATGGGAACACCAGGGCAGGCAAGAAGAGGAGAAATCAAAGCACGAAGATCCTCATCCAACCCCCGTCTGCGAAGGAACTGCAAAAACCCCTTACCAATCTCCAGAGTAGGATCTAAAGCAGCCGAGCCTGTGAGGTAGGAGTCGCCCCAAGGTTTCTTGGATCTGACAATGTCACCATAGACCCCCCAATCCGTCGCGGCACGCTCAAGCCTTGCCTCTTGCCACCTTTGCCGGTCCAGCCGAAGGCTTCGAAGGTACTCTCTCCACGCCCTGGGCTCTCTAGTTCCTCTCGCTCGATCTCTCAAGTGGACGGTGTCAGCGGACGGTCGGAAGGGTGTCCTCTGTGGCCTCGGTCCAGTGCACGACGCGGCCATTTCTGAAAGTGTTTGTGGTGTCAGCATCGGAATCGGTCCTGGAGGCGGCGCCAAAACAACTCTCGGGCCTCCATGAACTCTCTTAGTTTGGGTCTCCGGGCGCCCTGGAACTCGAAGACAAATATGGACCCTGTCATGATCAGTGCCAACCTGGAGTCTAGAGCTTTCGTCAATCTGCAAAGGGCCGCAAGCGCATCTAGCAACAAATACACCGTCAATCTGTGTGGATCGTGCTCCCTGTCTGCGGGGATGCCACGTAGAAGTTGCCAATTGTTGAGCAGAAGGTACACATTGCTGCAAATGTCTAGCAAGCGCCAAGTCCCTAATCATGCTCCACCTTGTGTTTCTCCCCCTCACGGTCTAC